TCAATCTTTATGCACTGCATTTCATTTTTGACAACTTCCAATTTTCCTAGATTCATACTTTGTACATTCCATGTTCTGATTATTCATGGATGTGTGAAGCTGTTTCTCCTCTATTTGAGTCATGCCACGTCAGCAAATGGAGGCCTGGAACGCTTTACCTTATCCATATGAGTAAGGCTGGTTTTACTCTGATGATGCAGCTCTTTCCCAGTCCTATTTTGAGAGCTTTCTAACATAAGTGACTCATCCTCCTCTGTAATGGACAATGTTTCCAGACTATTCATAAAGTTGCACAGTAATGTATCAGACAGTGTTTCTCTACTATTCATAAGGTTTTCCTTGGCCAATTCTTTGAGAAGTGGATGGCCTCTTCCTTCTTCCTAGTCTGTCTTAGTCTGCAAGCCATGCTGATAATTGTGCACCATGTGTACCCCACTGTGTTTGAAACACTGGTGGCACAGCCTCAAGACTCACAGTGACATGTCACCACAGTAGGACAAACTGACAGTCAAGTTTGTCTTCCTTAGCTGTTTGAAGGCTCTCCTACCTCCCCTTACCTGGATCCCTACTGCTGCCTCCTCACTCTGTCCCAGTCCCTCTGGCCTTTTTCTGTTTTTTCCCCCCGCTTTCTCACCTTGCCACTTGTGGGGCGTGGCTTGGGTTCCCTCCCCTTACCTGGATCTCTGTGGCTGACTCCTCGCTCTGTCCTGGTCCCCTGGCCTTTTTCTGTCCTCTCCCCTGCTTTCCTACCTTGCAGCTTTGGGGAATGGCCTAGGTTTCCTCCCCTCACCTAGATCCCTGTGGCTGTCTCCTTCCTCTGTCCCTGTCCCCCTTGCCTTTTTCTGTCCTTTCCCCTGCTTTCTGGCCTTGCCACTTTGAGGTGTGGCCTGGGTTCCCTCCCCTTACCTGGGTCCCTGCGGCTGACTCCTCCCCTGAATGGTTTAGGATCAACAAATGCTACATTACCTCTTTACCATTTAGGTTCAGAACACTCAAGGCAGAGCTTCCCTCCAAAAATGTAACCCACATCTTATCTTCTACAAATCTTTAAGAAAAAGAAAAAAACAGTAAGAAACATAATTAATATATTAGACATAACTAGTCCAATGATTACTAATTAATAAGGGCCTGTAATGGCCAGAAAGGTAACATAAAACATGTAAAAAAAATTAAAGGAGGGAGAGAAGTTGCCTTCACTGCCAGATGAATGACAGTTGTGCATTAAACCCGGGTCTCTGACACTGAAGGTGAGAATTCTACTACTGAACCACCACTGTCCCCAGTAATGCTTCTAACATTCATGAATTTCTATAGGCCTTTTCAGAAGCTATGTTTTCTTCCTGTTTTTACTCATTAAGGTAAAAGCTTCTAAGACACATTTCCCCCACTACAATTAATATAAGTATATATATGCATCCAAAGGAGGTCTGGTAGCATAGTCCCTAAGGTATTAGACTGCTAACCAATACGTTGGTGGTTCAAACCCACCAGCACTCCGCGGTAAAGATTTACCACCTTAGAAACCCAATGGGGATCGCTATATGAATCAGAATCAACTCGATGGCAGTGAGTTTGGCTTTTTTTTTTTTTTGGTATATCCATCTAAATTTGTCCCATTTATATTTCCAGAGAACCTCTTATTTCAATATAAAGAGACATATAGATTTTAGTCATTCCTTAACAGTTGTCTTATTCTAGACTGAAATTCATTGCTTTTGAGTTGATTCCAACACACAAACACCTTATAGGGCATAGCAGAACTGCTCTATATGGAAGCAGACTGCCACATCTTTCTCTTGCAGAGCAGCTGCTAGGTTCAAACTGCCAGCCTTCTGATTAGCAGCTAAGCATTTTAACCACTATACCACCAGCACTCCTTTACTCTAGACTAAAAGGTATTAATCAGTTTAATCTCACTGTGTACAGGCAGTCTTCTTGTTAATTGTCTGCTTTTTCTTTTCCAACATGGTTATCTTAAGGTGTAATAACCAGATTATTAAGGTGTGGATATGACGATAGATGATGTTAAAGTAATGTCTTGTTTTGTTACCAATGTATTTCCTAATGATGACAAGCATTTTGGGGAAAACTTTGGCCCCAACTAAACACCAGGTTCTTCAGAGACTGGGTTATAAAGAGCAACAGGTCCTTTTCCTGTATCAAAGTACTTTATCCCTTAGGTACAGTCTCGATTATTTCTAGCCCAGTGCACTTACATTTTTTCATAATGACATTTATCTACTACTTTGCAGCCCACTCATATAATTCACAAGATGCTCTTGGTGGTCTGACATTTCTATACTTGGCAAAGCTTACTGTCATCTTGTAAACTTGGAGATTTAACTATGTATTTGCTAGAATCTTAAGATTGTGGAAAAAAAAATGCTTCATTTTAAGGCTTTTGAGTTGTGTTTGTTAAAAGATTCGAGAAAAGTCCTATTTAAAGGATTTCTTCTCTATTTGCTAATTTACTGTCTGAAAGAATTCCAGATTTCTTAGGTGTGATTCTCACTCTACTGAAACCACACCATCTCAAGTTTGAGAACTAATGCTTTTAGGAACTAAGGAAGCCAGTATACATATACTGATCTTCTCAGCTAGATTACAAGCAGCAATCAAGTCTTCAATTTCTTCTCTGCTCTTCCACAGCACCTAGTATAGAGATTTGCCCAATAAATGTCTATAAAGTATACTCAAATAAGGAATGAACAGTACAGAAATTTAGTAGTACCTTTTCCCTTTGCGATTCAGATACACACGCCATTCAAGATCTCAAAATAGCTATACACTTGGAAAAGGACATATTTTAAACAAGGAAAGAGGTGGTCTGGCTCTGGAGAGGCAGAAGTTTAAGTCAAGGAAGGAAACAAAGACTGACAAAGATGACTCCTGACCATTCATCTGGCAGTGCTGCTTTTCTACTGGTTGGAAATAAAACGTAATTAAAATTACTTAAAAAAAACCTCACTGCCATCAAGTAGGATCCGACTTTTAGCAACCCTTTATTAAGTTTCTGAGGCAGTATCACTACAGAAGTAGATTGCCCAATCTTCCTTCCGAGGAGTGACTGGTGGGTTTGAACTGCCAGCCTTCTGGTTAACAGTCGAATGCCTTAGGCACTATGCCACCAGAGCTCCCCTAAAATTACTTAAAACTTCAAATTTCTTAGAGGGGAAATGTCACTCCATTCTAGTCTGTCTGCCCTTAAAAAAAAAACAGAACAGCAATCACAGCTTCCTTTTGCTATTTGGCTTCATGTTATTTTGTATAGGAATTTTGAAAGATCATACTTACATTTCCACCCGTCTGTCCTCAACTATTCACATCACATTTCACTAATTAACTTTGAGTTACTTTCAAAAGCTTTGCATTCTTTTAATTACTTATCTATGGTATGACTTTTCTTTAGTTTGAAAATAAAAATACCTACATACTATTCAAACACCAAGGTTACTTCTAATATAGAAACTATTATTATAAATGAAAAATATAGGATATTTTCCTCACCTTATCAGTATAACTTCACCAAAATTTGCAAACTGCTGGAGAAGCTCATCAATCAAAGCATCATCAAAAAAATTATTTTCTGGTAAAGAACTTTTGATCGACACCAATACTGTGCCATCTGGTGGACCCTGAACTGCAATCACTTCTTTATAAATGTTTTGCCTTTCTTCAGCTTCAACTTCAAATATATCTATATCAATCAGGGCAATAACAGGCCTGAAGACAAAAAAAAGACAGATGTATGAGAAACGTTTAAGAAAGCACGTATGACCAACAAATTTCAAGCACCATTAGAAATTCTGAAACTGCTAAAACCTATGGTCAGAAGTCTTCAGCTCAGCCCTTCCATAGTGCAGCAAAGTGCCAGGAGTCCAGGTGTAAATAATTTTGCTTTCATCTTGAAAACTAGCATTCAGAAGGTCTAAATCTTCAGCTGTAGTCAGGATAAAACAAAACACAAGAGAAGGTACATGAACACCACAGATCATGTGGAGCACAAAGTTGTTTCCTTCCCTTCACTAGCTTCAGTTGAGAACAGACTATATGATATACTTGTTAACAGCCAGAAGTCTAGACACCTTTAAATTAGAAAGGCTGTTTCTAGTAAAGTTATTTTAATAAAGCAAAAGAGATTACTTATAGGCTTTTGACCAAAGATGTTTCATAAATAATTCAACAGACAAGAGGCAGTTCAAAATACTTATAAACCACTTTATTCAAGTTAAAAATTGTAATTAGTATTCAATTGGAAACTTTACAAAAAAGTTTCCTTCTCTTTACACAAAATTATGTCACTAAAAAAAAAAAAATGGACTGAAAAATGAATGAAATTATAATAAGTAGGTCTGAAAATATTTAAACATACCAGTATTATATTTCAATTCTGTTTATTCTATTCTAGATACCTTTTGTTCTTCTGTTTTTATTTAGTATCTATATCATTCCCTTCTTTCTCACAGAATCTGCATAAATCCATTTAAATGAAGAAGTCCATTTTGTTTCCCAACCTGATCTATCAAAAGGCCACTTCCTTCTTCTCCAGAGGACGCGGTCTGTCCATGCTGGGGTGCGGCACTTTTCACTGGTGTCATAGTCATCGGAGAACAAATCATACTTATATGTTGGAGCAAAAGTTACTTTTCCCTCTAAAAAGCCTCTAAATATCTAAAATAAGCATATGCAAAGTAAGTTATTCTGAAAGGTAAAAAGTGAAAAGTTCTGTTATCATTCAGGCAGGCATTTATGAAAAGTCTATTATATGAAATTCATATGTATCTGATGAACACTTCCAACTGAATGAAACAAAGCTCAAGAAAAAATAACCTAAGATATGATCATTTTCACACCACTTATTTGACTTTTATGGAGCTCTGGTGGCACAGTGGCTAAGGCATTCAGCTACTTACTAAAAGGTTGGCAGTTCAAACCCACAAGCTCCATGGGAGAAAGATGAGATAATCTGGTCCCATAAAGATTTACAGCCTTGGAAACCCTATGGGGCAGTTCTACTCTGTCCTATAGGTCACTATGAATTGGCATTGACATGATGGCAGAGGCTTTGTTTTTTAGGTATTTGACCTTCAATTACACACATTATAAAAACATATTAAGGAAATTCCACCATACCAGCTACACCAGACATTCAGACCTATTTGGGCTTTAGAAATCATCTAGGCTGATGGCTCATTCTCAAATGAAGAACTGAGGCTTAAGAAGGATAAGTGGTTCCGAAAGGTTAGAATTCAAATCTCAAGTGGCCTCCAAATACTTCTATCTTTAAAAAAAAAAAAAAAAAAAAACTCCCAAAACTTTGCGGACATAAATTTTAAGTAAGTTTCAAAAACGCAAATGATTATGAGAAACAGGTGAAGGAAAACAAATTAGTACAAGGACAAGGATCTTAAAAGTCATAAAACAGTAGTCTTGAAGACAAAGATTCTAAACTCACTATTACTGGGAGGGGAAAAAATAAAGTGTATTTTTACTACTTGAAAGTAAATCTTATAGAAATAGAATATATTCGTCCTCCTAGGAATTATGGGTTTTCTTTTCTTCCCCCCTCCCAAAGAACAGTAATTCTTTATCTGTTAAACTAAATATATCTAGATAAATAGACACCCAAAACCCAACCAAACCCACTGGCACTGAGCTGATTCCAACTCATAGTGATCCCCATTGAGTTTCCAAGGTGGTAAATCTTTACAGAAGGAGATTGTTCCATCTTTCTTCCGCAGAATGGCTGGTGAGTTTCAACTACCAACCTTCCGGTTAGCAGTCAACTGCCTTAGGCACTGTTTTTGTTGTTGTTGTATTTGCCATCAAGTCGGCCCCGACTCTTAGCAACCCCTCCTTGGGTTTCTGAGGCAGTATCACTATGGAAGTAGGAACGCCCAACCTTCCTTCTGAGGAGTGACTGGTGGGTTTGAACCGCCAGCCTTCTGGTTAGCAGTCAAGTGCCTTAGCCACTATGCTACCAGAGCTTCCGCCTTAGGCACTACACCTAGGCACTACACCACCAGAACTCCTCTTACATAGATAGGTATTGCGGTTTAGTAAACTACTTAGTGTGGCTTTTCTACCCATAAGTCCTTGTAAACTCCAAGGTGGGAATTGCTATTAGCAACTGAGGAGATCCTGATTTTAAAGCCACCCACCTGGGTTATTTCTGTTGGGTGTGGCACAATACAATGTTCTGGGAGGTTCCCACTCTCTCTCATGTGCTTCGAGTTCTGATGCTATAATTGGCTAGTTTGACCACCCTTCCAGGCTCAAAAGGAGGCCTCCTAGAGGCAGAACTCTCTCTCTGACTGCTGGTTGAGGAAGATGTGCTGCTGAAAGAGACACGCGCCCCTGAAAGAGACACGCGTTGCTGGGAAAGAGACGCAAGAGACACACATTGCTGAGTGAGACACCGAGGAGCCAGCACTGCTGGGAAAGAGACTGTGAGAGACTGTTGGCCGAGGGATGGTGGGCTGGGACAGAAACTGAGCATTTTTCTTGAACTCGAATTGTAGCCTGGTGCTTCCCTAATAAACCTCATAATCTGTGAGTTCTGTGTGGCCATTGCAGCGAATTATCGAACCCAGGAGAGAGGTGGTGGGTGCTTTGGGAGGAACGGTTGGTGAAAGGGCTGGAGAGAGGCAGCATGTCTGGCCTTGCAGTAATAGGCCTTGGGTTACTGCTGGTAATCCTGCCTTTCCCTTGTAGGGTTAGAGAAGGTCGGAACACGTGGCCTCCTTGCCGTTTTTGCAGGTACAGATAGACAGATTTATTAAGAGTAAAGAAACTTCAAGTAAAAAAAAAAACCCACGATGAAGGAAAGCATGTTCATTACCAAAAATCTGTAAAGACATAAAAATACCAAATGCAAGTATGTATATACCTGTCCAGTATTTTTCTGATTGATTAATTGATCCCCAGCTATAAGAGAATCCCAATTTTGCTGCCTTATGAGCTCTTTAACTTCTTCATTAGGGAGGTCTATTCGATAGTTGAAATCACCACACCAAAATACATAATCATGAGAAAACAGCATCCTTCCCTGGAAGCAATGAGATAGAATTTTAAATTCAAAACCTGAATCACTTTTTAAAAATGTTTTACAAATACTTCTGTGCCTCGGATATGCATCCCTCCCTCTTATGCCCTGTTTTTCTGACCCAATAATAATAATAACACATGAAGTAGCTATTTAGGTTAAAGCTTTTTTTTTTTAACTTTTTATTGCGATATGAAAGAAAGTTTATAGAACAAACTGGTTTTCCATTCAACAATTTATACACATTTTGTTTCATGGCATTTGATTGCAATCTCCACAATGTAACAGCCCTCTTCCCACTTCCTTCCTGTGTTTACCACTTCCAGTTGTCCTTCTTTCTTTTCTCTTCCAGCCTTCTAAGCTTTATCCCTGGGCAAATGCTGCCCTTTTGATCTCCTTTGGTTGCTGGTTCTAAGGAGTGCATTTCTCCCTGATGTTATTGTTCATGGTATGGGCCTGTCTACTGCTTGGCTGAAAGGTGAGCCATAGGGATGAGTTTGGTTCCATGCTTGAAGGATAACCAAGGGCCACAGCCTCATGGGTTCCCAGCAAGCCTGGTCTTTTTTATTATTTTGAGTTTTGTTCCACATTCTCTCACTCTGTCCAGGCCCTTCTATTGTGATCTCTTTCGGGGAAGTCAGTAGTGGTAGCCAGGCACCATCTAGTTCTTCTGGTCTCAGTGTCATGGAAGCTGAGGTTTGTGTGGTCCATTAGTCTTATTTCCTTATGTCTTTGATTTTCTTCACTCTTCTTTGCTTTGGACGAGGAGAGACCAGTAGGTGTACCTGAGGTGGTCACTCACTAGCTTTTACGACTCTAGTCACAACTCACCACAGTAGGATATAGAACACTGCCTTTGTGAATTATGTTATAGTAACTGACTTAGCTGTCCCCCGACTCTGTGGTCCTAAGCCCCCAAGCCCAATGACTTATTACCTCAAGGTGTTTGGTTATAGCTAAGAAGTTTTCCTAAGTTTGCCCCCAATTGCTCTAGTATCTATATAGATATATTTACAGTACATACAAATACATATGTAGAAATAGCCTCTGCCAAATCTATATATGGTCATGTGTATAATTCTGGTGATCTACTCATACCTGTTCAGCTTGCCTGTCTGTCTATGTATCCACTCATAGATTACTGTTTGTTATTACTGACACTGCATGATTTTGTAAATATTAGTATTTACCTTTGTTATCTGTAACTCTTCTTTTTTTTCCTCATTTATTTTCATTTTTGCAGTATTCCCTCCTTGTTGTCTGTAACTCTTACGTACCTCTCTGTGTCTTCCTTTGCCTTAGTGATACTATGCCCATCACCCTCTTATTGTATATTGCCTTTCCCTTCCAGGTGAATGTTACTGATGCTTCTAGGAATTACCTTAAATTTCAAAATCACTGATTATGGAATTTAGGATAAATTAAAATATGTTTCAAAGCTTCATCTTTAAGAACAAGCAGCAAGAGCTTACCATGGGAAAACTCAATTTTCGTGCTATTTCTATAAAATCTTCATTTCTTTCTTTGACTTGTGATTGCCCTGCAGCAAAGTGGCTACAGACAAAGCAGAGGCTTGTTGTGTGAAACAGCATTCGGATTGCCACTGCTCCCTTATTTCCAGTTGCACCACCCATCCCAGTCTTCACAGTATCAACTGCAACATCCCTTTAAAACAAAGAATTCTAAGTCAAAGATTTGAAATTGCAATAGTTCCACACTCATAAAAAATTAGGAGTATATATTATATAATCAGACAACTATACATCATATAGTGCTTCAAAAGCAATGCTGTGAAATGTTGTTGTTGTGTTGTTGTTTGCCGTCGAGTCGGCCCCGACTCACAGCGACCCCTCCTTGGGTTTCCGAGGCAGTATCACTACGGATAGTAGGATTGCCCAACCTTCCTTC